ACACACAACAAATATAATACAAGTCACAAGCATCAATCACATATAAACAATACACATACACAATCAGTATCACATGGGCACTCATTCATCATGCAATGATGTCATGGACTCGACTCATAAATGCATGCATGTGGCGCCAGTCACGTGTCTCATAATCACATATAATGTGGTATGCTGCCGAAGCAACATACTTGGAGTAGTCTAGGAGTACATGTCAGTTCAACTGTGCACTCTCAACTAGAAGGATGTACTGCTAGGGTTTTGTCAGGATAGCGAAGCCACGCAAGATACGTCTCATGCACACAAACGGGCAGAACTAGGCCTTCCAAACCGCATTATCCCCTAGGACTCCTCCAATATGTTTCACACTTGGAGAGCCTTCCCTAACGATGTACTCCATATCGTACCCCATCACATAAATGCATATGATGCATGTCACACATTCACAAACTCATGGACTCAACATTTTACTTGTCAAGAAACTTCATGACTTATCTCATTTCATCACGTTTCACATTCTTATAGTCATAGTATTCACAATAGCACGTAATTCACATCATGGCTCATGTCACTTGTTCACATTTCACATTTCTCATAATCATACTCATACGATCATTTGGAGACTCTTGTCCTTATCATGCTCATAAAACATATTACTTACATTAACACGATAATAAGGCAATTCCCACATAATTTGCACCTTCAAACAAGACATAAAACATGTAAAACATCACAAGGGTCATGCCCGGCGCGTCCTAAATAGCGCCCGGCGCATTAGATGTCGCACCAAAAGTGGAGCATTACGCCCGGTGCGCCTTGAGCGCTCGCGGCGAATTTAATGTCGTGCCTAAAGCGGAGAATTTTGCCTGGCGCAGCTTCACACGCGTTTGGCATGACTTTCTTACGCTCGGCACAACTTTCCTGAGCCCAGCTCAATTTTTCTGAGCCCGACTCAATTTTCCTAGGAAACTATAAATTTGTGCCTGGTGCGAAGACCTGTGCCCGCCGCTCTTAGTACGATCCTACACTTCACAATCAGACAATTTTTCACAACCAACATGTAATCATATAAATCAATCGGTAAAAATCTTCCAAATAACACTTAGAACATAAATCCATACTCAATTTTACACAAAATACCTCAAATCTTGTCAAAAGATCATACCCCTAATTGTTTCTCATAGGGTTTCTCACAGGAACTCACATAGCACTCTAGTTCATATCAAAACTTATCTAATTTCGAAATCAAACACATATTCATGCATCACATCCAACAAGGAACACAACAGAAAAGTCATACATCAAAATAGAAAACATTCATATTTTGTATGCTCCTAGAAGCATGCATCAGGCAAGGGATTGAGGGTCAATCCTTCTACCCAACAGTTATTCTCACACCCCCGAGTGAGGTTTCTCACTCCCCTCTTACCTTGATGAACAGAAGATGAAGCACAAGCGGAATCGGGTTGGTTCTCTCCTTTAGGTTCTCCTTGGTCTTTAGAAAGCGTAGGAAGAAAATGAGTCAGGAAGAAGTGGATACGTGAAATGACTTGGTAACCTCTGATAACCTCTCTTAACCCCTTTTTTTCTCAATTAATAAAATAAATATTAATAATAAATATCAAAAGACCTTCAGGTCCCTCCTTTCTTTCTCATAAAAAAATAATAATAATAATATTAAACATACCTTCTTCCTTTTATAAGATAACTTAAACATAATTATTAATAATACAATACATTTCATAAAAATAACTCCTGTTCCACTAATTAAACAAAATATAATTACAAATCGTGTCACGTAATTAAAATAGAGTTCATCTCACTAGTTAAATAATATTCAAAACTCTAAAATAAATACATTAAACGTGAAAATAATTTCTAAAATACTATTTATTATAAGATATGAAATTCAAGGTGTTACACTAGGGGACTCCTATTGTTAAATTCGTCAAGCTTAGGGAGGGTCACATCAAGTGTGATTTTGTCCAAAGGCTCTTAGCCTTGATTGCGTCGAGCATAGTGCACCCCACACCAGTGCTATCTTATGCCTACAACAAAGGTGTATGTAATTGATTGAAAAATGTGAATAATCTTAATAAGTAAACCATATGAACTGATTGATTGTGATAAGTGAAATATGTGTGTTTAAGGATATAGTGTGGAAAGGTGAGAATGTGTGTGATGCTAATGTGAACCTATAAAATTGTGAGATATACGATACATGACAAAATTGCAAGTGATCATGTGACTAATTATAAGTATATCTTAGCAGTGTAAAAGTATAGGTGAATTGCCTAATAGGGATGTGAATTATGTGGATTGAGAATTGTGAACATGATTAATAAGAATATGTCATACAAACATACATTACATGTTTTGTGATGGGTATGATACAAAATACATTGTCGAGCCCCTTTGTGTCAAACCTTAAGGATCAATGACCTTAGGGATAACTAGGTTTGGGAACTACAAACTTGTCCATTGTGTGCATGGGTGAAACTTGACCAATATAGTTATCTTGACATGTTATTGGTGTATATCCTCTTAGTGTAGAGTGTTGTGATGGTTTTAACCCGACATATTCTCCTAGACTACTCATACCTTCAGGTCGGGATAAAGTGATTTACTAACACCACATGCATATAGTTTAAGAGAGTCTTGTACATTGCATGAACATAACATATCCATTGAATTTGAATTATGAAATTATATGTTGAAATATGATGATTGGTATTGTTACAAAATGTAGTTTGAAGTATATTGCCTTGACAATTAAAATCTATGCACGAAATGATTGTTAATGAGCTATATGTATATATATGTACATTATTGTGTTTATTGTGTGTTTGGCTACCCAACCATTTCCTACACTAGTAATCGAAGTGAGATGTTTTTCACTCCCATTTTCTTTTGGTGTTTTATTTTGTTGTGTATGTGCAAGTGAATTTGACTATGATAATGTTGGAGGAGAATTAGTTTAAATCTTATGTTAGGAATGCTTTGACAGGAGGTGACGAGGCGGTAGTTAGAAAATTATTTTCTTCTAGTATTTGCATTAGAATCTAAATGCTAGTAATTGAATTTATTTATAGTATCAATTCAAATTTCTTGTAATGACTTTCGGATTTAATTTTGTTATTGTTGAGTTTTAGTTAATGCGATACTTCTATACCTTGAGTTTTAATTTATTCAAAAAATACTATTATATTTATTAAGTTAATGCATTCAAGAGTAAAAGGTGCTACAATACAACACATGATTTTTTTTCTATTAGGTCATGTCAAAACAGTTTTTTTGAAGATAAAAAATGTTATTAAAACAACTATTCACCATTATGATTGTAAGCAATAGAAAAGTTATACATGTCATAGATTTGAAATCTACTAGGTAGTCATATTGACATCAATAGTTGAATCAATTGTGACATTAGCACATATTATTATTTAATAGATAAAAGCTAATCTCAAGGACTAATTATGTGACAAAAAGTTAATGAAGGATTAAAAATTGATAATTTAAAAAAAAACTAAAAAAAATCATAAAAAAATGAAGAACTAAAAACTTATATTTAACTCAACAATTTATGATTCTTTTTAAAAATGGGATGAATTTGGATTTAGTCTTTGCTATTCAATTAATGAAGGAATTTTTATCCATTATAATTTTTTAAAACGTATAAATATCTTTTTTCTTAATAGTTGTAAGTGTTATATAGTGCTATAAATCATTAGTTCACATAATTTGACACTTGAGTTCTTTAATTGAGAAATAGTTGAAATTCAATTTTCACTATATGAAATTGTGATTAGAGGTGCCACTCTTATCCTCTAGGGTCTAACTTGATAGGAAGGAGAGTTATATCTCTTTATAAAATAAATAAATAAATAAAGAAGTTGCCAAAATAAATGGGGTATAACAAAGTAAGCTGAGTTGCGTGAACGTTGTAAAGTTACTAAATTAAATTCCTATGCTAAAAAAGTTGAGGAACCTAAACATTTAGAACGGTTCAGATAGATAAACATGTGAACACTCATTTATTCAACAAAAGCGTATGCTTAATATGTTGGCATGTTTTTGTGGCTGGAAATGTACTGTTTTTTCATGCTTAATGTTACATTTTATTGACTGTATTATTTGGTGTTGACTTCGGGTGATCTGGAACCCAAGCGTTTAAGCTTCTCATAATTAGATACAATGTGAAAAACAAAATCTTAGACCAAGGGTGCCATTTTCTGGTTCTGGACAGAGAGAAAAGAGGGAATTAGTTGCTGGAAAAAACCTTAATTAATGATGTTGTACGAAGATATATACTAATTAAAGATTAATTTGATTAAAATGAAGTTTATATATATATAACTAATACTTAAAGAAGCTATTCATATAATTATAATTATATAAAACATTTGTAAATTTACTATTCTTTAAGTATATATCAATATCTATAATTATTTTTATATTTATAAATATTCAAATCTATTAAATTAAAATTATTTTAAAATCATAAAATAATAGGAAAATACAATAAAAATCATAATAATATAATTATTTTTATAAATTATAAGCATAATAGCTGTGTAGCATGCGAGTGTACACTATTATACTATTCTAATAAAGTTAAACATTTTTGGTTACGTAATAAAGTTAGAAAAATATTCCTTCGGTAATTTGTTTCTGTACGAAACTGAAATAATCCATATATTCGGTCCACATCGTACTTGTACAACTTGAGCTGTGCTTACGGCACGGAATTATTGACTTGCCTGTTGCCATTGTTGTTTATTAATAAAACTAGGAGTTCACATAAATAAAATCAGATATTATTAATAATTTATCATTTTTTATATTCTAATCCATAGATTCAACAATAATTAACCCGTAATATAATATAAACTTGTACACATGTATGTACTAATAAAATCAACAAACAGTACATTGTCAAAGGTGATTATTTGTACGTTTTTCCTTTGCAAGTTGCTCCTAACATTGACTTTACAAACCCCTATAAATAAACGAACAATTCCCTCATATCACATTCATTCACTTCTCTTATGTTATAAAGTTTATCACATTCATTCACTTATGTGTTTGATTCCTATTGTGTGTAAACTTCTTTCGAGTCAATGACAAATATTGTTGAGTGTAACCAGTCTCTACCTTATTAGTGAATTATGTGTTCGATTCTTATTGTGTAAAAATCTTTCAAATCAGTGACAAAAAGTGTTGAGTGTAATTAGTCTCTATCTAAGTGGATTGATATTGTGTCACGAACAAGAAATATACTTGAGAGTTTCAAATTAAACCAAACACAAAAGTTTCCATGGCATACCAAAACCCTCCTTCAATTCCAATCACAGATCCTGAAGCACCGGAAATAACTCCTACTACTCTTGCTCCTACCACTCCACCAGCCTCAAGTTTCTCAACCAAAGTGGTGGTGAACAAGGTGAAAAGCAACTTGATTTTTCACTCAAAATGGGCTGAACTCAATGGTGCCATGGGTGACCTAGGCACTTACATACCAATAGTATTGGCCTTGACCCTAGCTAGGGACCTCAACCTTGGCACCACGTTGATCTTCACAGGTGTGTACAACATCATTACTGGTGCCATTTATGGGGTCCCTATGCCGGTCCAGCCCATGAAGTCCATTGCCGCCCAGGCCTTATCCGACACCGCCTTCGGCGTGCCGGAGATCATGACTGCCGGCATATTAACCGGTGGCGTGTTGTTTGTTTTGGGTGTCACAGGGTTGATGCAGCTTGTGTATAAGCTGATTCCCCTCAGTGTTGTGAGGGGAATTCAACTGGCACAAGGCTTGTCATTTGCCTTGACAGCAGTTAAGTACGTGAGGAAAGTTCAAGACTTGCCAAAGTCTAAGTCTTTGGGTCAGAGGCATTGGTTTGGCTTGGATGGGTTGGTTTTGGCCATTGTTTGTTTGTGTTTCATTGTGATTGTGAATGGGGCTGGAGAGAATAAGAATAGAGGGTGTTGTGATGCTGTGGGAAGTGGTAATGATGATGATTTGGGTGGCCAAAAGAGGGTTGAGTGTGATGAAAGAAACAAGAGAAGCAGGTTGAGGAAGGTTATTTTCTCACTACCTTCTGCTTTCATTGTGTTTGTGTTGGGTGTTGTTTTGGCCTTTATAAGAAGACATGAGGTGGTGCATGAAATTAAGTTTGGTCCTTCCTCTATAGAAGTGGTGAAGTTCTCTAGACATGCATGGAAGAAAGGGTTTGTGAAGGGTGCAATTCCCCAACTTCCCTTATCAATTTTGAACTCTGTGGTAGCTGTTTGCAAGTTGTCATCAGATTTATTCCCAGGGAAGGATTTCTCAGTCACTTCACTTTCAGTGACAGTGGGGTTGATGAACTTGGTTGGTAGTTGGTTTGGTGCAATGCCAAGTTGCCATGGTGCTGGTGGACTTGCAGGGCAGTATAAATTTGGTGGAAGGAGTGGGGGGTGTGTGGCACTTCTTGGTGCTGCAAAATTGTTGTTGGGATTGGTGTTGGGAAGTTCTTTGGCACACATTTTAAAGCAGTTTCCTGTGGGAATTTTAGGGGTGTTGCTCCTATTTGCTGGAATTGAACTAGCCATGTGCTCTAGGGACATGAATACAAAAGAAGATTCCTTTGTGATGCTTATTTGCACTGCTGTTTCACTTGTGGGGTCAAGTGCAGCTCTTGGCTTTTTATGTGGAATGGTTGTTTATGTGCTTCTTAGGCTGAGGAATTGGACCAGGGATAAACCACTTTCTACTATTTGGATGCAGAAAAGTCCTCAGCAAGTATGAAGAAAAGGAGTACTATAAACTGTTTGGATACAAGTTAAAAGTGTTTATGAGAGTTTCTCTACTAAAATAAACTCTCAAAAGTACCTTTAAATTTGGATTCAATCATGTTTTATGTGCGTGATGATATTGTTGCATATTTGATGCTTCTAATTTGTGTGTATGGTTTTAAAGTGATTGTTGTCTGAGAGATTAGTTTGTTTTACTTTGTTGGTATTTGAAGCCGAAAGGGGCATGTAGGAGTTTTAAGACATTATGGTATTTGTAATTGTTAGGAGTGTGGAGCATCGTAGGTAGGAACTTATGTTGCTGCTGGCTATTGCTGTTTATAGTCTGCGTATATATTCGTGTGTGAGAAATTGTATATATAAAATAAATAATTTGATTGGAATATATTGATAGTGTAAATTTTGTTTACACTGTCATCCAATTAAAAGTTGTTACATAAATAAAATTATTTACCTTAATTATTACTTTAAAAGTTATGTTTCAAGTGATTTCTGAATTCTAATTAATTGTTAAAAGTATCTACAGTAATAATATATTTAAAACTAAACACTATACAATAATTTATATAATTTTAATACTGTATATAAAGAAAGGGTAGGAACAAAAAGAGAAAAATGTCAAATATAATAATGAATGTGATAGAGACAGAGAATTGAAATATATAATAATTAATTAATGTACAAAAAAAAAAGTTATATAAATAATATAACTGATCAGTCACGTAAAGTTTACTAAAATAATAAAAAAAAATCATAGAGTTGTTGTTTCAGTTAACAGATTCTTACACGAAATTCTTTTATTGGAAGATATTTTTTTATATATATTTTCTTATCGTATGGAGTTTATTTATATGTGGATGACGTCTTGTTGAACTCATCGCAGCAAAGAACAATAGAAATGGTGAAGAAGTATGAATGCCTTTCAATTATCGATGAGCTTATGTGATATATACCCTTGCTTTCAAATTAATTATTGATCAGCTATTATGTGATATATACTGATACCTTTGCTTTCAAATTGTGACTGCAAATGGGGTTGCTGTGATGATTGCCTTTGTGACTGCTCTAACACAAACAGTTTCTGATGTGATTATATTTTTTTTAATGTTTATATACAGTTATAAAATTATTGTGTTTGATAATAGATTTGTTTATTGAAACTTAAAAATGATTATTATAAAAAAAAATATTTTTATTAAAAGTAAATATTGTATAAAAGTAAATATTATAAGATTAGAATAATGTATATAAGTTGGAGATTACAAGTTAGTCTTGATTGTATAAAGTAAAATTAGGTTTTTAACTCACTTTCATAAGAAATATAATTTATTTTTTTTTTAAAATTATTTTTAAAATCAGTGACTTAGATTTGGTATCATCTCATTGAATATAATTGAAGTTACATCTATAATTAAAGTAATAATTATCATTAGAATAATTATAAATTGATCTAAATAAAATATACCTAAAAATAGTTATTATATTCTCATTATATATATATATATGGGGAATGTTAATATACTCTCACCTATTTTTTAGTCGGACACCAAAATTTTAGGACAAAAAAATCATTCATTTATTTTTATTTAGTTAATTTATAGAAAGGATATTATAGTAATTTAATTTAATTTTAAATAAAAATAAAATATTTTCTCTTCTTATTAATTTCATTTTTCAATTTATTTATTTTTTCTATTAATCAATTTTTATTTGTTCAGAGAGAGAGGGAAGAGACATCACGAGATATGAGAGAGAAATGAGTTAAAAAAAAAAATTTAATAGGAAAGAGATAAATAAGTTAGAAAAAGAATTTAATAGAAAAAATAAATGAGTTGGAAAAAGAATTTAATAGGAAAAAGACCGTTAAAATAAACACCATTAAAAAAAATTAGAGAGACTGTTATTTCCCCGGCCTCAAAGTTGTTGTAAAATTAAATTTATCATTTATTACCATCATTATTTATCCCACAATTTGATACAGAACATCGACATATAACAATGTTATACTCATTTTAAAAGCTTGATTGATGTTCTTTACTTCTTTTTTTTTTTTTTTTTCTTTTGGACACCTATATTATTTTCTTCTTAAGATTGAATATTTGGTGCTTGAATGAATCTTGTTGAACAAGGGCTTGCCGGCCTCTAACACATCTAATAATGTGCCTTTATGTCCAACATTAAATAGTGGCCTGACTCTATTCCAACTTTGTAAGAGATAGAATATAATTGCCTTAATGCCTTTATCAAACATGTCCTTAATTATTTGGAAATAATTGTTGGTATATCTAAGAATCATACCACACTCCTATGATATTTCTTTTATTATTGATTTGAAATTTATTAATTAGAAATCATAAATTTAGAACTTAATATATAATTGATATTTGTGATTTTTAATATGTTTAATTGATAATATAGAAAATATTATAATAAAAAAAAGTGGTGATAGCAATTCTTTTAAAACCAATTAAGGGCAATTAGTCTCAAGAGTTATGAGATTCTTATGCTATAAGAACTTTAGTTGTTGCTGGCCTTTGCTCCTTGTACTTGGTGTACATCGTCATATATATTTAGAACATGATTAAATACAAATTAAGAAAAATTTCAAAAATGTTTCTAAACTTATCCAAATAAATTCTTAATGTTTGCTATCAATGAAGTTGCTTCAGTTTATAGAAACATAACTACTCAAGGATTTTTATTTTTATTTTTTGTTATATTGGACTTCTATATATGTGTGTCTATTCAATTATGTTAATGATGCCTGAGGGAAGATTCTTGAACTCATGGAAGCAAAGAACAACAAAAATAATGGTCTAAAAGCATATCCTTTCATTCGGAGCTAATTTGATAACCTTTAGACCAAAAATGAAAGTTTTGGTGATGGTTTGAATCTAATTTGATAAGTGCCTTTATCCAACAATAAGTGGTGGCATGACTTTGTCCCAATAACTTTTGGAATTCGCCCCAAGACCAAAAGATAATTGCCATTAGTAACAGTGTTTAATTAATTTGTTTGTCCTATTCCATTTTTTCTTTCAAACTTTAACACTTACTATTCTCAAAGATAATGAAAATAGTTTTGTTTTAAAACTTTTATTGATTGGATGATAATGGCCGGGAATAAACATTATGGCTTTCATCAAACTTCTCACGAGAATCATCAATGCAGCAAGGTGAATTATGGTGAGTAATAAGATGTAGGATTGAAACTTTTGAGCATTAGCTTCGTCATTTTTCCTCCATTATACAGGTCGTGATACGAATTTCTATATTTTTTTTTATTTATATAATTAGAATAGAGATCCAAATATGTATCGACGGATTTATTTCACTCAATAATTTATAGTCTATATTGAATTTTAACAATTTAATTATTAAATTAAAAATTTTATAATGAATAAATTAAGACTATACAGTTTTGCAGAATTTGAAAATCATATGAACAAATTAATGTATTATATGATTTTATGAATATAGTTAATTTGGATTAAAATAATGAAGTATGAGATAATTTTTAAAATTTGTAAAATTTTGTAAACTTGATGTATTCATAACAATTTTTAATATAACAGTTGAATCATTGAAATTTAATATAATGACATTAGTAATTGTTATTATTAAAAAAATTAAATAAAATTTAAATAGTATTTTTCAGTAGATAAGTTTTAAAAGTGTGTCTTAGCTTGAATCCAGACTAGCTTATAAAGCCAATATATATTTTTCCTATTTTTTTAGCCTATATTAAGTAAAATAAATAAATAAATAAATAAACACCATAATATCATTTAATTTGTTATCTAATGTTTACTAAATATTAAATAAATTAAATTTTATGTAGTTTTTATTTTATGAATATGTTACTTTACTCAATTAAAATTCAACAAACTAAGTTGGATTTGTACATTTTTTTAAAATTAATCGAACTCAACCCATCCAATCATGAATGAATTAAATTGGGTTGGATTAATCGAGTCAACATAATTAAATTTATTTATTTATTATAAAAAATTTAAATATTTCATAATAGATTAAATCATTTGATATTTTGTTGCAAATGCAATGCTAATAACTGATAATATAAATAATGATACAAACTAAATTCTATAATAAAATTGTTGATTTGTTATATTATTATCAACTTAAATAACCAATATGCAAAATAAAATTTAAAATGAATATGTTGTATTTTTACAATGTTATCGATCCAAAAACACATTCTTGTTACTAAGCAACATTATTATTATTATTATTATTATTATTATTATTATTATTATTATTATTATTATTGGGTCGGGTTGCATCACAGGTTAAAAAACATAAAACATGTTATCCAATCCATACAATATCGAGTTTTGATCAAATTGAACTCAGCCTGATCTAAACACTAAAAAAATTTGATCAAAACCCATTAGGTCGATTTGAATCCATTTGGACTCATATAGATTATTTATACTCGCTTAAACTCCTATCTTTCAGTGAGATAATTTTGTTCGATTTGAATAAAATTATTATGAATAATAATGTTCTCTTTAACTACTTAATGCAATTGTATATTCAAAATTCAAATTAAAGACTACTGAGTAAACTAAAATAACTTCTTTATTTGATGTTTTGTATAGTATATAACCTTTTAGACTTCATTTGAAAGAGCTTATAAATAGTTTATTTATACTTAAATCATATTATAAATAAAGTTATAAAAATCGAATCGATCATTAAATTGGTGTAAGTAATAATTTAGTAGTTAAGTTGGAGAATTACTACTAAATTGATTAAATGTGTCTATATTAAAAGATTAAATTATAATAATATAATGAGCATAACTTAAGATATTACATACATTAAAAATAAATTTATTGGCATACTACTTAAAAGACAAACATCACATGTCAAAAAATCAAATTTTTAATCACAAATCATAATAACACAATTTCATTATAAAGAACTCAATATTCAAAATAACTATTAAATTAAATTTCATAGTATTAAAATTCATAATAATAAATTTCATAAACAATTAAATTAAAGTCAATGTCAAATGTCTATAAATAAATATAAAATTTTAAAAAGTAAAATAGTATTGACATCCAAAATTTATGTCCATGTTACCGATTTATCGGTTCATCAAATTTTTTACAAAAATTGGCCAATTTAATTTGGTTCAAAAACTGTTTGGATGAGCATATCATTCTAATTTGAACATCAACTCCTGGTCAAACCCGATTTTTATGACACTAATTATAATAGCTTCTGAAATTATAAGAAGATATAAAAATATCCGATGTTCTTTTAGTTTATTTTCATAAATTCTGGGAGATAATTTGTAAGAATAACTAATGCGGAGATTATAAACGACCCACATTCGAATCTTGGCAGGGACAAATATATGGAATGCGCTTCTTTTTTCTATTAAATATTCTTTTTTCACCCAA